AAACAGTCCTGATTCCTCTGGTTTCATGGAATCTCTCACGACTGCAGACTCCAAAACAATGTCCTAACCACCATCAAATTGCTTTCAACGTGGTTTGGATTTTTCTTTTTTTTCATTAAGTGGATATTTCAACAAGAAGTATCCTCAGCAGTGATTACAGATTTAGCTTATCATAATAAAGTTGAGTGTGCAAATACAAAAGACTATATTGAAAAATGGCATTAAATTCATTGTTATAACCTAAGTCTACTTTTAGGCAGATTTGGTTGAACTGTTAAAAGAATGGATATAGGAAAACCAGAAAAACCCGACAGCTGACAGGAATAACCAGAGGCATGGAAATACAGTTCTGTATGGAGTCTGAGATTGAGATTTAGTTTAGAGTCCAGATTAACAAATGTTGCCCAGTACGAATATATAAAATAATGATTATTACAGGCATTTCTTCAGAGCCTGGGGGTTATGAATAAAGCTAAGCACACAGGTTCTTTCCCAGCCTGTAAGAATTCTGAAGATTTCAGAAAGGTCTTGTTAGTATTAGGACAAATCCTTTCACAATTTTCACAAAAGCAGAGATACCCAACCTATTACAGACAATAGTGCAGTGGTAAAGACAGTTGCCTTGGATGCATTAGATATTCAGCTGGATTTAAGTCTCTATTCAGCTGGATTCAGAAAAGGAAATTGAACCAAAGTCGCATGTCTTAAAGGATAATGCCCTAACTATTAGGCTCTGGGTATTGTAATGCAGATTTCTCTCAAGGTTTCTTTTTGAGCAGTTCCATTTCCAATAAATTATTTATTTGCTATTTGAAATTACAGCTTTCTAAAGGAATTTTTTTTAAATTACCCTTCACACAAGAGAGGTTTCAGGTTTGATAAAGCAGCAATTTCTATCCAAAACTCTGTTAACTTGGAAAAATCCTTATTAGCTTTAGTATTTCCAAGAGCAGATGAAAAAAATTCAGACACTTGTAAACAATCTTTTTCCTTTGTGGCAACACTAAAAAGCAAGACCATGCAATCCTTTCCTCCTCAAGATATCAAGTGATTTAAGGCTGAGGAATCTTTGCTACTAATCATATACAAATCTCTCCTATCAACAAAATATGTAATAAAATTAAAAATGTTTTTGTGTAAAATTGATCAAGGAAAACACAACAGAGTTCACACGTTTTTTTTCCTTGCTGACAATGAAGGTGACTATTTTTATAGCTGTGAGGATAAGAACTTTAATCCTTAATGTGATCTTTTAAGTGAAAGTGGGCTTTCACTAACATATGAGTCATATCTAGAGTGATTTACCCTTCCAATCTATAATATTTGGAAGTATGCTGTTCCCAAATGAAATTGCAATTTTCACGTGATTTGAACCACAAGTCTGCTTTTCTTAGCTTATTCTTCTATAGCTGATCTTGCATCTGACTACTGCCTCTATCAAGATGCTTATTGATCAAACTTTTACTTATTGCAACTGTCTTATGCAGAGCTTCCCAAATTACACTGACTGAAATCAACCAAAGTCATGTAATATAGTTTATCCATAGTTATACTAAATTTATTCTTTTTTAAAAACCTCTACTCACCTCCCAAGTTTACTACTCCAACTCACAGCTTTCTGTAGCAATGTTTTTTCCTCCCCACTCCTTCTCAATTTTCCCACTTTGGCTTTCATCCAGTCCTCTCTACCTTTCTCTGTCATCATGGGGGTTGCTATAGTGCATTTTTTAGCTATTTATCCCAAATTCATAACAGTGGTATCTAAAGACCCCTTTAACACACCAACACACCCACTTTAAAGCAATTAAGTCAACACTGTGCTAAGCAATTCCCTACACCAATATACACAGAATCATTAATATGATTACAGTCTTTATCAATTTAACTTCTGTTCACTGGGAAAGGAGAGATATTAATGTTACACTGAGCAAATGTTAGCCCTGCAAAGCCAGATTATGGGACAGTGAAAATCCTGTGTGTGGAACCAAAGGAACTGCAGCTAAACCATGAGCTGGGTACAGATTTCATCCTTCCTACTTCTGAGTGTTCTCCTACTACATAAAAAGTTCCCTTGCAATGAAAATACACACTAGCAAGGCAGAAAAAGGCTTGTCTTTAAGATCAACCACCTGTCATGAATAAAAGTTTCTCTTCCCACCTCCACCACTCCTAATTCACCATATTACAAAGCAGTAATAGCTCCCATTTGGATACCAAACCAGGTGATACATCTGCTGCCAGGAAAGTATGTGTGATGAATCACATTATTCCTCCAGTGTTTTGAACAGGTAGAAACAATCATAGAAAAACTACCAAGGAAATCTACAGTTGCAATTTTATTCTGTCTGTAGGTCTTCAGACTAAAATTAATGCACAGATGTAATTTTCAAAATTAGTATTTCTATTAAGAAGAAAACCAGACTCATCCTAGTTGATCTTAGACATTGACTTATTCACCAGAATAATTCCATTGAGGCAGACAAATACATTTGCATGAATAAGGGCCTGCACTGCAGGACTTCATAAAAACATACATATGAGACAAAAAAAGAGCCTAGGAATTAAGTCAGTAGTTTTGACAAGCTTTTGTTTTATAACTGTGAAGCAGCCAATTTAGTTGGCTATTCTAAAGTTCAGATCTAATACACACTGCTCTACAGTACTGCCTGAACAGCATGAAAGTGATCAAAGCAATTTCACTCTTTAAGCTTCAAAACACACTATGTTTGTCTCTGGTTCATCACTGTTGATGCACTTTTGAACCACAAATTCTTCCTATCATCTTGCCTAATTATAACACATCCTTTAAAACTTAGTTTTTGTTTGAAAAACAGGTTCATAAAACCTCTCAGTTCTACATTCAAAAGAGTTGTTAAATTAAACTAACTAAAAGCCTAAAAATGTAGGAATTCAAAACGGGTCATGAGAAGAGCTTAGGCATGTGTGGCCAAAATGGTGAATGTGGAGGCCCCTACCCCATCCAGGAGATGTTCCTGGTGGCAATGAAGGTTTTGATGGTAACACAGGCCAGACCCAGAAGCTGCATGTCTGTGCATGGCCAGAGTTCACCTGCTCAGCCAGGGTGCTCCACCTCACAGCTCAGCTTATGCCCAGTCCTGTGGGGAGCTGCACAGCTCATCCGAGGAGTTTGACCCACCAGGTGCTCCCAAAGCCAGCCTTACAAACACCAACCACGTGGGCTCCCTACAAAATTCTTCAGGTGCTATTTCTTTCTATACCAGCTCATGAGCACCAGCCCTTCCCAGCCTGGCAGCAGCACTGCTCATCCCAGGAGCCAAATCCCCTGCTCCCATTCCTTCTCCAGCCCAGCACCCAGCAATGTCTCTGAGCAGAACGTTCCAATCAGCTGGCTACAGGCTGCACTAAGTGCTGGGGCAGGGAGAGGGAGATATCAAAGTTCTACCACTGAAGCTCTTTCATTGTACAGAAAATAATTCAAGATTCATTGGGCTGGAGAAAGAACACAAGAGGGAGCAAGAGTCTGTAGCCTAGTGATTTGGGCACTCAGCTGGGAAAAGGAGTCCTGGGTTCCTGGCCTGTGCTCCACAGAAGGTTCATGCAATTTATCTAACAGCCTTTCAACGATCTAAGTCTTAGCTTGGATCTGGCCATATTTTCCTTCCTGATCCAAGCCTATAAATAACACTTTGTTTGCAAACATCAACATATCTCTTGTATGCTTTTAATGCTAAATTTTAAATAGGAAACATCAATAAAACTGAAATGTTCCAAAACCTGAAAGCTTGTTTCATATTCATTTTATAAATATAAGAACTTATTTAAAGTACAAGAACTTGTGATCAGGTAAAAATACTATTAAAATGCAAATACACAGTTTTACCTGTGTCAATAGTGCTGCTTTGAATCACTAAATTGGAATTTATTTTTTCATCTCGTGTTTCTCAGGATGAGGTAAGATTTTTAAGAAGTTATAACAATAGTAATAGCCTTCTAACATCTTTATTCTGCTCGGTTTCTGATTCTCACTTAACAGTATTTTCATGTGCTGGTTCTCATTCCCTAGCACAACAGTGCAATGTCATGCAGGCAACTTTAAATCCAAGCAAGGTTACCCTGAAATTCCCACTCCAACAATTTCATGGACATATTTCTGGTTTTGCTAAACATTCTTTTCATAATAGCTTCATTTTGGGCCTAAGCCTACATAACAGGGTCCCTTTAAATAATATTCCATGCCTTGAAACATATTACAAAAACTGTTATATCAAGGCGAGTTATGCAAGGGCTCTCTATGGTTTTAGCATATTTACTCTGTCACGCCATGTGTGAGACTGCAGCCTCCACAACAAAACCTTTACACACTGAAGTCATTATCTCTGTGAAGTCTGCAACTGGCATTTAAAACTTATTGATGGCCTGGGTATTGGTGGCTCAGTAGGCAGCACTCTTGCCGGAGGCCCAGGAGGTCAGGGGTTCACATTCTGCTCAAAGAACAAGTTGGACATGTTCCAGGTTTGTGTGTGGGCTGTGCTACACTCCTAAAGGGGCAGTCCTTAGGACAGTGAGCAAAACCTTGGCTTTTTGGGGATAGCAAAATCCTCTCGTAAAGGGAAGAGGAATAGTAAGAAGAAAGTTTAACAAGTGAATGAACACGATGACACTGGCTGGGAACCTGGATTTGGTTGTGTGCTAAATAGAGAAAGGTCCAGCTGGAGTACACTGAACAGTTTTAAACAAGTTGCCACATCTCTGTCTCTGTGGTCAGCACATGTTCAAGGGAGAGGTACAGACTCCAGGTATGCTCAGTATTAGCCAACCTCCCCAATAGCAGAGCGACTTTGGGTTCAATTTCACACCACACAACTATGAAAAATGAGCAAGTGAGCAGTCCAAACAAAAACACTTTAACACTGGAGCAACTTCCACCCATTCTATACAATCACTGAAAACATCTCCAGCCAAATATCCAAGTCAAAACTAGCAACACATATAGAGAATAATATAAATCAAGATTCGACCTGCTCTGGTGTTAAACTTTGATACTTGAATATCCCAGATGTCTCCCTCCTCCTCTTCTTCTTTATAGACAGGTAAAGATGGATCTCTTGAAGGAACTGGGGATCACACTCTAGGCAAAGGTTGGACAGGTGATCAATGTACAGCATGAGATTTTGCCGTGGCTATGTGCCTCCAACAGTGACTGGATCATCTGGTTTAGAAAAACAATTCAAAATTGTAATATTTTCTAAAGCACTTATAAGGCAAAAATTAGCAAAAGGGAGAACATGTAATTTTTATAACATGGAATATATCACAGAACTTCTTTCCATAATTTCATATTTAATTTTAACAATTCATTTATTTCTTGTTTAACATATAGTTCATTAACTTTTCAATTCCATAAAAGTCAGTCTTGAGAGGATTGCATCCCATTTCCACTGGCAGAATGTGTTCAAAAGTTACCACTGTGATGTGAAGCTACGCCTGTAAGTGCCAACATATATGGTTTTTTGGCATCTAGCTTTAGACACAACCCTACAAAGTGTCAGGGCCAGGCCCAGCCCATTCCTTAAACAGGTTTTGGAGCAAGCCAATATTTATCAGCCAAATGGGATTCTACTCTGCACTGCTCTTCAGGAGGTAAGCACAGAGGTTAATGTTTGTTAATGAAGATACATCTCCCAACACTCCCTTCTATGTCAATAGAATGAAAGAACATTTTCTAAAGGACCATTCAGAGAACTTGAATGATACCTTTTCTTCCAGCATTTAGGAACACCATCCTTTATCTACCTATCTTTTACATGGTGCCGCCTTTTATTTTTTAACCATCATGGAAAAACAAATACTGCCCTCCTTCCCAGAAATATCCATTAGTATAATGGATCTTTAGGTTTAAGTTTGGTGAAATCAACCTGTATTTAAGCAACAGTATTTACACACAGTAAAAGAGATAATTAATTACAAGCATCATGACATCTTTAGGCTATCATACAATTGATGTATAAGCAACAAGCTGCTTAAATGAAACAAGATATTGATGGCATTATTTCAAGTGCAGAAACAGAAGACCTCCTAACATAATCCCAGTGCAAATTTGCAAAGAATTATGTGTTCATTTTGTCACTAAAATATGAAAACCAGCTATTTCAAGGAACGAAGGATGTCCTCTTAACCTGCGACAACAAATTTGTTTGTTTTTTTCTCTTCTCAGTAAGAAAGCAATTAGGATTTTTTCCAATAAAAATATCCTTGTCCATATATAAACACTCTTGGTAATCATGTAATTACCTTACCCAATCAGATTAAATTGCTGTCAGTTGAGTTCCCACTGTTGATTAACTTTTGTGTACTCTGAACCTAAATGAAGTCTTTGGTAAACTCGCTCAGTCATTTACAAAGGTGTCTCTATGGTTCCAAAAAAGGTAACAGCAATATATTATTTGCTATAATCATCAAATATCCAAGGTCAAGGATAGATCACAGTGGACCCCTTTTTTTAAAACCCAAAAGAAACACAGAATTAAACTATGTTGCTTATTTTTGTGTTTCTTGCCATGACTTCTAAATGTAATAGTAACCTTTGACCCCCTCCATATTAAACACCATAATTATGTAATTAAAACTAATTATGCAATTTAACATACATATTTTTGTCCTACAACAGGCAGGTCAATTACCTCACTCATTGACCTTGGAAGCTTTCACAGTTTAAACAAAACAATGAAGCTTTCAATTAATTTTAAAGTACAAACAGAGAAGGAGCAGCAGAACCTCAAGTCTTCACACTGATACTGCACGGAGGAATCACTTACAAACCTCTTCATTTTGGATTCCATAGACTAAATCCCTTGATAAAAGCTGTTAAATATCTTTCTTCTATATTGCTACCATTAGAAATGTTAACACATTTGTGAACAAATCATATATACACATTACTTGCTAAATGCAAGAAAGGAGACCAAATAATACATTTTCTTTGTTCCTCTTTTTTTCAGTATTGTTTCCTCTGCTTCCTCCCATACTTCACTGCCTCTATCCCCGTTTCACCTCCTCTTTCTGAAGACTTTTTTTCCCCCCTGTTTTCTTCATTATCTTCTCAGTTCCATTTCTAGCTGTAAAGTTTATCATTATATCAAATTGCTGTGGCTGTTGTCTTTTCCTGTTTCCATCCACATCCCTGACCCCATTCACAGGGTTTCTCAGCACGTCTTGGCACCAGGTGGCTTCTGATGATGATGATGATCAAGCAGAGAGGGAACCTTGAACTGCAGAAAATTACAGCTGAAGCAAACATGGTGCATGCTCCAAAATGAATTTTCCAGAAAGAGAAGTTTGGTACAAGTGAGAGACACTTTATGAAATTGTTGAAATATGTTTCACCTCAATAATATCTTTTTTCTCTTTAAACGCTTAGGTAAGCTCTATATACTGCACTGAAGGTTTTTCAAATTGTACAAGAGAGACTCACACAATATTACATTGTGTCCAAAGAACTTGTTCAAAGAATACAATTAGCATCATCATTTAACCACATGTTTATTCTTCAGTAAACTAAATCCCATTCTCTAAAGAATCATACTTAAAGCAAGCATAAACCCAGGACCTCTGCACTAAAAAGGATCATGTTCTTTTATCCTGGTTTTTTTTGAATTGCTATATTGACCACAAATAGATCCAGTAAAGTTAATAGGCTTAGGTATGAAGTAAAGGGACAGACCACATATATAAAAATACTCCCTATATATATATATATACACTCCATATATATATATGCATACATACATACATATACCAGTCAGGCTTTAAGTTGTTTTCTCTAAACCTTTTCATGTGGGGGGATCAGAAAATAGCTACTGGAAAAACATATATGAAAATCTTTACGGACTCCTTGAAAGGCTGGCAAAAATACCTACAGTGCACTTTGTGCTTTGGTGTCGTTTCTAACACCATTTTTGGAGTCCTTTCAGTTCTCTGCTTTAATTAGGCCTGACTCGCACAAGGAGCTTGAAAAGATTTCAGTAAACCCTTGACATAATGGAAACAAGGAGCACTGAACTCTGAATGAGGAGTTACAACAGGAAAGAAACAATTTAGGATGGTAGCAGGCCTTATTGCAACATTAAACCTCAAATTGGATCTGTTTTACACAATGTAAACCAATACATTGAAATAGTGCCCCAAACTTCTGGACAAAAGTTTGAAGGAAAATAATACAGTGCATGTGTAGAGATTCTGTCCAAGGGACTGGAGGAGATTATTCCTTATATTCTCATTTAACAAAAAGGTTCCTTCTGTTTTGAACGGAACATTAAAATTCTAATTCAGTTCATAGAGCATCCCAAACAGAGCAGCAAAAGAATCTGTGAAGGAGCCCAAATATGGTGCTATTGAAACAGAGTGGATTAGAGGAATTGGGATAGAATCCTACAAGTGGCTAAGCAGCAGCAGGAGGTCAGCTTCACAAACAGCAGGATGCTGTTCTTGCCAGACGTGAGTGACATAATACAGGCAAAACAATTGAGATTTCAGCTGATAAATGTATGCCTGAGGAAAAGGCCTCGCTGGAGAACTTTCATAAGCAACAAATATTTAAGCAAATTCTGTAGACCTAATTTACACAGGAGAGCATTTTTTTCTTATACAGACATGTCATGTTAACCATGTAGAGCAGAATTCGTTATAACATAAAGAAAATAATTTTAAGAGCCTAAATGCAGAAAATACAGGAGTCTTTGCTCAGTTATTCAGTAAACAGATTAAACAAAGAGCTTTCATAGTTTGATGCAGCTTCAAGTGTGTCTCAAGCAATTCTGTGTACATTAGGATAATTCACATAAAAATATTAGCTCCAAATATCTAGGATATCCAGAAAGAATAACAGAATCTATGTAGCCCCATTGGTTATTCATAAATTGCATATATTAGTAGTATTAGGCAAATTTCAAGGCTCTGAAGGGAACAATAGTTGCATTTTTAAGGAGACATTGAGATATTAAAGAGTAAGATGATCAATAAATAATTTTGGTTCCTAAATTTTATGGTATTATATTAAATCAGACTTTAATTCTAAACACCACTTTTTCACTTCTACTATTTTAAAAATGCATTTTAAAAGGCTGAGATTCCACTTATTTTCCATTTTATGCTATGAGCAATTAAAAGAAAATTTATTCAATTGCTTTTTAGCTAGGGAAGTGCAAAACATTCATCTGTCTACCCAAGTTCTTCTCTGTCCTCCACAAAATATCCTTTTGGGCTAAATACTTTTGCAAGCCTGAAACAAATTGTAATTCTGAGGTCAGAATTCCAGCCTGGAGTAAAGACCAAACTTCCCCATGACTCTCAGGACATTGTGAAATCAGAATTTCTATGTGGGGCAGATGACTGTTTTCATTCAGAAATCAGATTAAGTGAAGCTGGGCCTTTGAGAACATGAGCTGCAGTGATGAAGGAAGCAGCACAGACAGAAGCCCAACCAGGAGCACCAGGGCATAGAATTCCCCTGCCATGGCTTGGGCATTCACACGAGAGCACCACGGCATTGGCAGAAGGCACCTGGGGACACTGTGCTCCTTTCTCCCCATGGCAGGAGCTCTCCTACGATCTGAGCACAAAGGGGAATTTCACAGCACAGGGACCGTGAGGGAGGATGTCTGTATTTTGATAACTTGTTGTATATGTGAAAAATCTATGGCCATTTCTGCTGGGGAAAGAGCAGATTGCAGAGAGGCCAAGCTGGTGCTACCTGGCTCCAGACTACGGATCTTGGAACGAGCTGGCCATGTGTCACCTCAGTGAGTGTGATTGCTGGAGATCTTTCGTGAAACCACAGAATCGGGAATTCGAAATGCCGTGGAGACAGCCATGGCATCCAGCAGCTCCTGCTCAGCTGGAAGAGGAGGTGATGCTGCTCCCCCTTACCTGCAGTGCTGAGCTGCTGCTGTCACCTTGTCCCTACCCTGTCCTCATCACCACAGGCAGTGGCACTCACCTACATGCAGGGGTGTGCTGCACACCTCTAGCTTGCTTGGTACAGAGCAGAGCAGCTCAGTAAAAGCTGATTAAGACATTGTGCTCAGCTAAAAACTGGATGCTTTGTGAATATCTGTGTCTTGGCCTTTCCCCAAATGTCTGCCCCCAACAAGTGAGAGAGGACAGCTGGAGCAGACGAATTTCTGTACCCAAGAGACTGTTTTTCTTTCCTTT